GCACTTCTCCGTGGAGGGTCAGCTTGAATTCCGCGCCATCCTCTTCGTTCCCAAGCGTGCTCCGTTCGATCTCTTCGAGACGAAGAAGACCAAGAACAACATCAAACTCTATGTCCGCCGTGTCTTCATCACCGACGACGCTACCGACCTGATCCCTGAGTGGCTCGGCTTTATCAAGGGCGTCGTCGATTCTGAAGATCTTCCTCTCAACTTGTCTCGCGAGACGCTCCAGCAAAATAAGATCATGAAGGTCATCAAGAAGAACATTGTCAAGAAGACGCTTGAGCTCTTCAATGAGATCGCCGAAGACCGCGAGCAATTTGACAAGTTCTACTCCGCCTTCAGCAAGAACATCAAGCTCGGTATCCACGAAGACTCCCAGAACCGCCAGGCTCTTGCTAAGCTCTTGCGATTCAACTCTACCAAGTCGGGTGAGGAGACCACGTCTCTGTCCGACTACGTCACCCGCATGCAAGAACACCAGAAGCAGATCTACTACATCACCGGAGAATCAATCAAGGCCGTCCAGAAGTCTCCGTTCCTTGACTCCCTGAAGGAGAAGAACTTCGAGGTCTTGTTCTTGGTTGACCCCATCGACGAGTATGCCATGACTCAGCTCAAGGAGTTCGATGGCAAGAAGCTCGTCGACATCACCAAGGACTTCGAGATGGAAGAGACCGACGAGGAGAAGAAGGAACGTGAGAAGGAAGAAAAGGAATACGAGGGCCTGGCTAAGAGCCTCAAGAACATTCTCGGCGACAAGGTCGAGAAGGTCGTCGTCTCTCACAAGCTTGTCGGCTCTCCTTGCGCTATCCGTACCGGCCAATTCGGTTGGTCGGCCAACATGGAGCGCATCATGAAGGCTCAAGCTCTCCGTGACACCTCCATGTCCTCGTACATGTCTTCCAAGAAGACGTTCGAAATCTCCCCCAAGTCTCCGATCATCAAGGAGCTCAAGAAGAAGGTGGAAGCTGACGGCGAGAACGACCGCACTGTCAAGTCAATCACTCAACTCCTCTTCGAGACATCTCTGCTTGTCTCTGGCTTCACCATTGAGGAACCCGCCAGCTTCGCCGAACGTATTCACAAGCTTGTCTCTCTCGGCTTGAACGTGGACGAGGAGGCTGAGACTGCCGAGGAGAAGGAGGCCGAAGAGGCCGCTCCTGCTGAGGCGGCCGGTGAAAGCGCTATGGAGGAGGTTGACTAGACGATTTCTACGACGACATAGGTGTTGCATTGACGAGATCTCACGCATGAGCGATTGTCACTGTGTCATCCATACTGGCGTTCGGTGTCGGTCAGACTCGGGTTCCTCTTGCCCTGTTTTCTCTTTTAGCGATATCCCGGCAATGAGTGAAATGGTTTGAAAGAACTGGTGGTATGCAGACCAAAAAGTGGACGGGAAATGGACGGAAGAACAGGTTCAAGCATCAAGCGTCCCTTCGTGGTTGAGGTTTAGAGCTTCCTGTAATCCATAGTCAATTCATTGCATGATTCAGACAAATCTATCCACTTGCGTGTCCCCTTGGCCTTTCTCGAGAGCCGTAGACAACGAGAAACATCGTCCCCAGCCATATCATGAAAGAGGACGACGAGCAACTACTGACCTGGGTCCCTGCCAGAAAAAAATCTCCGAATGGGGAATTTGGAAATACGAGACGCGTTGGAGAAGATCTGTCCCTTCAGCTTCACCATGTATGTGAACCCAGAGTCATTTTCAGCCTCGACACTTTCCTTCGAAACCGCCATGTCGATATCGGTTCGCATGACGCTCCTTGATCGGTGATATTGGATTGGGTCTCCTTTGAAATCACCTCCGGCGCCTTGCCTGTCTTGTGTCGTCTCTCTTCCGTCGCTTCGCCTGCGGGGCTGGGCTTGCGCTGCCATACCCATACACTCCTTTGCTTACCCGCGCCGTGCCTAAGCTTGCAGAAGTCCTACGCCCTCGGGACAGACGGCGAGGATAGTCTTTGCACGAACGAGCCGGTGGATTGGAAATAACAACACATCATGGCTGCGAGATCACGGTTCCACAAGCTCGACGCTTTCACGAAGACGGTTGAAGATGCTCGCGTGCGGACGACGTCTGGCGGGATCGTCACCATCGCCTCGATCATTATTATCCTGTACCTGGTGTGGGGAGAATGGGTCGAGTACCGGAAGATTCTGGTGATGCCGGAGCTGATTGTGGACAAGGGACGAGGTAAGAGAGCGGCCTCTCCGGACACCTGCGCGGGCATTTTTGAAACTCCAGAGAGACCTGAACTCATGCTAACAAAGTCCGATCTCGCATTCTGCCACAGGCGAGAAGATGGAAATCCACCTCAATATCAGCTTTCCCCGGATCCCCTGCGAACTGCTCACCCTCGACGTCATGGACGTGTCTGGCGAACAGCAGACGGGCGTCGTCCATGGGGTGAACAAAGTGCGCCTCTCGTCCCGTGCCGAGGGATCTCGAGTCCTCGACACGACCGCCCTCATCCTGCACGACCAACAAGACAACGCCGTACACTTGGACCCCAACTACTGCGGCGACTGCTACAGCGCGCCGGCGCCGCCGAACGCCAAAAAGCCCGGCTGCTGCAACACGTGCGACGAGGTGCGCGAGGCGTACGCGGCCAACAGCTGGGCGTTCGGGCGGGGCGAGGGCGTCGAGCAGTGCGAAAGAGAAGGCTACGGCGAGAGACTGGACGCGCAGCGCCACGAAGGGTGCCGCATCGAGGGCGTCATCCGCGTGAACAAGGTGGTGGGCAATTTCCACATCGCGCCCGGCCGCTCCTTCTCCAACGGCAACATGCACGTCCACGACCTGAACAACTACTTTGACACGCCCGTGGAAGGCGGCCACACGTTTACGCACGAGATCCACAGTCTCCGGTTTGGACCGCAGCTCGACGGCCCGGAAGGCTCCAAGTGGAGTGACCACCACCACCATTCGGACCCGCTCGACGGCGTGAAGCAGGAGACCGACGAGGCCGGCTTCAGCTTCATGTACTTCATCAAGGTCGTCAGCACGTCGTACCTGCCGCTCGGGTGGGACGAGGACCGCTCGCAGAAACAGCACTCCAGCCTGGCCGACTTGATCCCCTTGGGCATGCAGGGCAAGGGCGCCGGGTCGCAGGGCAGCATCGAGACGCACCAGTACAGCGTGACGAGCCACAAGAGGAGTCTGGCCGGCGGGAACGACGCCGCCGAGGGCCACAAGGAGAGGTTACACGCCCACGGTGGCATTCCCGCCGTCTTCTTCAGCTACGACATCTCGCCCATGAAGGTCATCAACCGGGAAGCGCGGCCCAAGACCTTCGCCAACTTCCTCACGGGCGTGTGTGCCGTGGTTGGCGGCACACTTACGGTGGCGGCGGCGATCGATAGAGGGCTGTATGAGGGGAGTACGAGGTTGAAGAAGGTCCATCAGGGGTGATTTTGGATGCGACATTTGAGTCAAATATTGGCAAATGATCAGTTTTTCCCATTTCACGCATAAGCATGGGAGTTGTAGGGTATGAGTCACGCGCAATCGTTACGGTCACGTGCAGTAGAGATATAGTAGCTATGGATGGGGAAGGAGGCCACGCTACAATACTGGCCTTTGAAGCTACTATGGTTTTGAGTGGGACCGTCCGTCACGAAGCAGGTTCCCTGTCCGCAGCGGTGTTCTTTCGTTCTTTCGTTCTTTCGCTCTTTCCCGTCCGAAGTCCCATCCGAAGTCCAGGTGCAGAACTAGGTACTTACTCTGCGATCGCTTCCCTAGAACTTCAGACAAGTCAGCGTAGATTCCCCACACAGGCTCGCGATTGAACAGTGCACAAGCTGAACGAGTGTATCAGAAGAACCAAATTTTTAAGCACCGACGCTGGGACGAGGGCCTGGCGCATTTGACGATGCGCGTGCCTCCAATCCATGTTTGTTGGACGAGGATTTTTGCTTTCCCAGCATGCCTTTTCCGGCTCTTCCTATGCCATGAGGTTTCTTGTGTTCATCATTGAGGGGTGGAGGACGTGTGATGGAGCAGAAGAGATATAGAGAGAGCTTACCTTGAGTCACTCGGAAGAGTTTGTATGTGAAAGAATTGGCTACGGGAGCACCGAGCTTCAACCTCTGCGAAAGACCAAGGATCTCGCCGAAACTGTAAGACTGGAGCATGGGTTGGTGCTGGAGGTTCACAGTGCCTACGCACGCTGGAATACATATTGGCTTGTACGTGGCATGTTGATCACGGCTCCGCGGCGACAGTACGTGTTCAGGATGAGAATCTCTTGAAGAGAAAGATTAAAGACGATGGAGAAATTTCTTGGCTGCGCGTTTCCTCTTCCAGACAAGGGCGGTGATCTAACCATTTAGGTATCGATACTTGCGTTACCGTAGTCAGGCGGAAGGAGCTGAATCATGTGATACTCCAAAGTAGTTTCGCGACCTTCCTCCGTACTCTCAGTTGTCTCTCGAGATGGTGCTGGAACGGTCGAATCACAAATGATACAGTAGTGCAAATCTGCGAATCTCGTATTTTCCGCATCACAGTATGGTGCTTTCCATCCGGCGCGAATCTATTCTTGTTGGATCCGATGCGGTGCACAAGTCGCTGTTGAAATGAGACGGGCCCATCAGTTCCAAGGAAAGTTTTTTGAGGATGCCACTAATCTGGCGCCTTGTACAGGAAGCTGAGCCAAGTCGTGCAACCGTTGTCCCTCGGAACCATCAAGAGACGCCTGCCAATCCAGTTGCCTGCAAGGAGCAGGAAAGGGAAACGAGGGCTTGACCGGTGAGGCCCAGCCCGCCGAATACGATGACCGCAAAATGTTTGTGAGGACTAGGTGGCCTTGGTCTCCCGAGCAGCAGGTTATCCCAGCCTCATCCGCACCACCATTCTTCTACTCATTTCTCACCTCTGAATACCTGTCATTCGCTTTCCACGTAGCCTGTCACCCCGGAAGGATTGTTTTCTCGCTGGCTTCACCACCAACGGTATCGAAGACGCCAATCCTACCATCTATCGCTTTATGATGCGGCTACTGCACACCAAAGACCTTCAGGTACACGAGTTCGCCCCTGGCAATGCTCCCGAAAAGTATGCCATCCTTTCTCACACATGGGAAGAGGAAGGAGAGGTTACACTCCAAGATATAGAAAAAGGGCATGCACCAGCGATGAAAGGCTATATGAAGCTCAAGAATAGCTGCCGAAAAGCGGTGAACGACGGGTACCACTGGATCTGGATCGACGCCTGCTGTATCGACAAGACGAGTTCGGCAGAGCTGAGCGAAGCCATCAACTCAATGTTCAAGTACTACAGCCATTCCAGCGTCTGCTATGCATATCTAGCCGACATTGAGAACCAAGAAAGCTTGGAAAAGAGCAAATGGTTCACACGAGGCTGGACGCTGCAGGAGCTTCTGGCCCCCCGGGTTGTCATCTTTTTCGATAGCCTTTGGACGGAGCTTGGGACAAAGCAATCTTTTTCCCAGCAGATATCCTTCACGACTGGGATTCCAGAAGAAGTGGTACTAAGCAGATCCGTCCAAACATGTAATGTGGCTCAACGGATGTCATGGGCTTCGCAACGACAGACCACGAGAGATGAAGACATCGCCTACTGTCTATTGGGCCTCTTCGACGTCCACATGACTCCCATATACGGCGAAGGCGCCGAAAACGCGTTTCTCCGCCTTCAAGAAGAGATCCTTCGCCAGAGCTCGGATCATACATTGTTCATCTGGACGCCAAAACATGATCCTTACAACCAAGGCTTATTGGCTAGTTCGCCTAAAGCATTTTGCACTCATCCCGAGTGCTTCGACTGGATGAGTGAGCTTCGAGCGAGGCAAGGTCCCTTCGAACCTTATGCGCACCTGAGGAGAGTACCCAACACCACCTCGAAACAGTTTTTCACCCGTGACAAAAGGACAGGCAGGACTGGATTTCTTCCAGAGGAGGACCAGGAACATCGCACTCCAGCATCCGCATCGCTCGGCCAGTCAGGCTTACAGATATCGCTTCATTCTCATGTCAAGGACGAAAGCGAACTCTCGCTACTCCTGGGTACTAATACAAAAGTTCTCCTATTCGACCTCCTTCTCATTGACACTGATGCGCGGGCACCCATCCAACTGGCATTGGCTCGTGACATAGATCCCGACTTTGCTGAGGGCTTCGCGCCTAATAGATTGGGTGCATGGAGGCGCCATGTCCACTCGGAATTTTTTGCTTCATATTTGAAGGAGTCTGTTGAGATGTCATTTGAACGAGTACCAGTCACCATTTCCCAAATCAAAACTCCCGTCCCCTACTCCGGGGACCCCCTTGCTTTCGGGTTTCGCGGGCAACAAAGCGAGGAACTCGTTTCCTCTGTGCTACTCGCGGAGCCGGAGGGCTGTTTGAAACGCATCTCCATATTACGAGAGTCGTTCCGAGGTCATGGGGGTATTGTCGTTTTGAACCACTCTTGCACTCAATGCGACCCTCGATATAAAGTTGCATTCTTCTTCGGAGGCCACGACAGAATATATCGGCCCTGGTGCTGTATGGGCCGTACCGCCGCCTTGGGAGAAGATGATTCTCCGGCGACTGATTCATATACGTTGTATGAATCGCAAAAATATCAGAGTGCCAGATTCGGTCCTACCACAAGCACGTATCTGCCATGCAAGGTGCTAGTAAGTGGGCAGATCGACTATGGTGCAGAGGAGGACTGCTATTTCATTGCATTGACCTCAGTGCTGCAGATTACCTACAGTGTGTCAGCTTCCTGAGGATTGTTTGAAAGATGAAGCACAGTCTACTTTACCGATATCCTTGCCATTGCCATCTTTCGGAAATGGCTGAGCCTTCGAAGTGGTGGATTCCTTGGTCCTCTCTCCAAGCGAGCGTGGTCTCGGTGTATCTCATCGGGCTTCAGACCCGAATGCTCTTGAGCCTGGAGAGACGAACCACGTGTGCATTCTAATGTAGCATGATCGCCACGGACGAGCTCGGTATACATTCTCCACATATCTTACCATCAATTGGCGAGATAGGCTACCTGCATCCTGGTGACATTCCGGAGCTTGGCTTAATCGTTGGGCGTTCAATCTGCAGAAAGCGGGAACCCTTGCTGAACAGCATCACCTTGCTTGGTCTCATCGTTTCGTGGGCCCCTCAGGTCAAAGTTGACTTGGCCAGTGGTTTCTCCCCATCCTGTTCCGAAAGGCCAATGCTCTGGCTAACCATCTTCTCGGAGTGGGTACCGAAAGTTTCCAGTAATTCAAGCGTGTAGTCCAGGATGCGACACCACGGCTGGAGGTCCCATAAGGTAGGCATATGGCGCCAGGCACGCGTCCATTTGTTGCGCAAGTCGGAGAGGTTAGGCAGATGCAACGGAGCCCACATACTCGGCAGCAGTGCACTGACAAGCCCAATTCTCCAGCCCATGAGAGTGCTGATCACATGAGGGGGCATACAAGATCCAGTGGGCTGAGGGAGACAGTCTGGTCTGAGAGTAAATCCATTGGAGGCAAAACGTGTCCATGCTGTAGACCGCTCAGCATCGCCCATAATATCATTACAATTTCGTCTGAATCAGTCGTCGAATGTAGCATGCCATCGTTTGGTAGTCATTCTCTACTCGTAAGACCAAGCTCTAGAATGGAACACGCAGAGGGAGCATGAGATGAGGAGGCAAGGAGGCTTCAGAACCGGCGGGAGAACTCCGGTAAAGGATCGCGTCTCATCTGGCTTCAATGATGGCAACTTGGCCATGTCGAGGCAACATATTATTCGTCATGTCCCTCCGATACTGTACGAGTACAAGGACGTGTTGTCTCGGCACCAACAATTGAACATTGTCTTGGATCACTCTTGAAGGAGATGCGGATCGCGTCCCACCATTACAAGGATCTGCGGTGTTTCGGTTCTCACTCACATATTTCAGATGCCTGTCAATGGCATACAGACAGAGGTGGACCTACTAGATTCAGGCAAGACGCCCGTGGAAGACAACGCCGGCATTTCGCTGACAATCAAAGACGACTATGATCCTATAGCACACCTTGATCAGATCTTCTCGCACCCTTCGACCCTCTCGTCTGTTACCCAGACATCCCAGATCCTACAAGCTTACCAAGATGACCTCGACAACGAAATCGAGGCTCTCGAGGACGAGCAAATCCAGTCGAATGCCGAATGTCTCCAGCGTATGGAGGGATCAAAGGCCGAGTTGGCCGAGCTCTTCGAGCGGATCGAGAGCGTCCGCGAGCGAGCCTTGCAGACGGAACGAAACATCACCGAGATGACGGCCGACATTAAACAGTTGGATAACACGAAGAAGAACCTGACGCTGTCAATGACCGCTCTGAAGCGGCTACAAATGCTGACGACCGCATACGAACAGCTGCGAGCCATGAGTAAGACGAGACAATATCGAGAATGTGCGCAGCTGCTGCAAGCGGTCATCCAGCTGATGGCGCATTTCAAGTCCTACCGCTCGATTGACCAGATCGCGACACTAAGCAGGAACGTGGCGGATCTGCAGAGGGAGTTGCTGGAACAGGTATGCGAGGATTTCGAAATCACCTTCACCAAGGAAGAGGTTGCACAGAAGCGAGGCCTCCTTCACGAGTCGTGTCTCGTCGTGGATGCTCTAGGCGATTCCGCGCGCTCGAGGTTGACCACTTGGTACTGCAACACCCAACTCCGGCAGTACCGCCATATCTTCAAAGGCGACCAGGAGGCCGGGTCCCTGGACAACATTGACCGGAGATACGCATGGTTCAAGAAGACCCTGAAGATCTACGACGAGGAGCATGCCGCAATATTCCCGCCGCATTGGCGGGTCAACGAGATCCTCGCAAACGTCTTTGCCGAAGGCACCCGCGACGACTACAAGGGCATTTTGTCCCGCTCCACCCGCAATGGACAAACAATCGATGTCAAGCTACTACTGTCGTGTTTGCAGCAGACACTCGACTTCGAGCACGGTCTGGAGAAACGGTTCAACCAGAGCTCGAGAGCCTCCATCGACACCATGGCCTCGGCGAGTGAAACTCCGATCTTTGGCCAACCAATTTCCGACGCTTTCGAACCATATCTGAGCCTGTGGGTTGAAGCCCAAGACAAGGAACTGGCTAGTTTGATGCCGCAGTACAGACAACGACCTACCAGAAGTTCAGAAGAGGATTTCTCCCCACAGCAAGTCATCACCTCCTCGACAGAACTCTTCAACTTCTACCGGCTGTCTCTCGCACAGTGTGCAAAGCTCTCTACCGGGCAGCCTTTGCTGGACTTGACAAAGGTCTTCGCGCGGTATCTCGACCAATATGCGCAGCAAGTACTGCTGTTCTATATCTCGGAGAAGCCAACGGGCGGGACACCATCAAGAATACCTACCGTTGAAGATGTGATCTTGGTGCTCAATACCGCGGATTACTGCTTCAATACGTCCAATTCGCTGGAAGAGAAGATCAAAAGTCGCATAGACGAGTCGCTGAAAGACAAGGTCGATCTGCAAAGCCAAGCAGACGCTTTTATGGGGATTGCGAGTGCAGCAGTCCGAGGTCTGGTCCGGAGGGTCGAGGTCGACCTAGAGCCCAGCTGGCGAGAGATGCGAAATATGGCTTGGTCCAAGATCGACATTGGCGAGAATCAAAGCGCGTACATTGCCGGTCTGCAACATCGCATCAAAGACCGGTCCAGCGAGATATTAGGGATGCTTCACAAGCAACAGTACGCTCGAGCTTTTGCTGACAATTTGGTTGAGCTTCTTGCGTCGACATACCTTACGAACATTGCCCAATGCAAGCCGATCTCAGAGGACGGGGCGGAGCAAATGTTGCTCGACACTCACGAGATACGAAACATACTGAGCCATCTACTCCCGGGGACCCCACCACCCCTGTTCCTGAAACGTGTGACTGCTGCGTTTGCGAAGATTGAACCATTGTTGAAGACTCTGCAAGTCCGACCTTCACCTCCGGAAGCGCTCGTACAGGCATACTTGATCCACATTGCAGACCTGTCAGAAGTCAACTTCCGCAAAGTCCTCGAACTCAAGGGGATTCGCACGAAGCCGGAACAAAGTCAGCTGATTGAGCTATATCAAATGCACAAGTTCAGTCCACGGTATAAAGACTCGCTTGTGGAGAAGTCGCCTCTTCTGACACCTCTGACACTTGGACCGTCAACGTCAGGTACAGGCACGGCGGTGACTCCTGCCGCTGCACTTCACAACCTTTCTGCGCTGGGGAATTCCGCCGCTGCGTCACTGAGCACGGCGAATTTGCCCGCGAACATGAAGTTTGACGCGTCAGGCCTGGGCAGTGCAATCATTGACCGTTTCAGCAGTCCTGGGCTGGGGACACCACGGGACGGAGCCACGAGTCCTACGCTTGGGGGTGGTGTAGCAGGCGGTAATATAGCAGGAGATGGTGGCTTCTCTGGCGCAGAGGCTGGAGCGAAGTTGAACGAAAATTTGAAGAACATTGGGAAATTCTTCAAACGGGACTTGGGCGGCTTTGGAGGCATCGGTCGCTTTGGTAGTAGCAAAACGACCAGCCCTGCTCCGCCCGAAGATCGAGCAAACGGTCGATAGAATATGACATGTAGATTACAGGGACATGAACATCTCTAAGCCGTGGTATTGTCATCCTCTTTCGAGCTTCACTGGCGATGCCGCATAAAGCCTCCCCCGACAACGGACCAATCATGGCACCGGCCAACAAAGAGGCGCAAGCCGAAAACGGACTAGCCGTGGTATGTTCCGCATCCAGGTTAGCGCGAGTCACGTGGTGCTGCCTGACCGGGTCTTTTGAGTCGAGTTCCGCCTACGACGACAAAGTTCTTTTTGTTCCTGACAACTTCAATTGTCAGCTTCACTTTGTCTCTCAATCTATTCACAGACACATTGATTGTGAGCTCAGCGGTCTTCAGGTCTCATACTGTCATTGCCATTCGGATCTCACTGCGCCGGTTCACCATCTCCAATGTCGTGACTATCTTCGCCATACCCTTGTCACACATCCGCCACATACGAAATCTTGGAAACCCAGGACAAGACCACCTTGGCATACTCGAGTACATCTTTCGCACCATTCACATCACCTGCATCAGCGACATCAGCCAGACCAGTGACAACTGCGTGGTGACTCTTTAACAATTTGAAGAACATCAGTCACACAAACAACCACTCGTTTCTTGGCGCCTTCGAGGGCTGTGAGGCAGTTCGCGAGCCCTGCAGAACACACGACATCTACACCGTTTCACGCCAGTGCTCGCAAATTAGGGATATCCGTTTGCAACGTCCCGGATCGAGGCATCTACAATGGCATTCGGCAAGGGTGGTTACCGTGGAGGGGGCCAACATGGGGGAGGACGTGGGCGAGGCGGCGGTCGGGGAGAAGGACATCATTCCGGCAATTCCACGATAGAGTTGGTTGTCAAGGGGTGGACAAGCTCGACAATACCGGCCCGTGATCAGAAGTCTGCGGTACTAGGCTTTCTCAAAAGCAAGTCAGGCTGTCAGATCATATCAGACAGAGTGGTTAAAGTCCATATCCTCTTTATCGAAATATGGGAAAGGGACAAAAATCGATTCTACCAATTGGATGGCAGCACTTGGAGCGGGACCACAATCAAAATCGAGGAGTCACGACAGCGAACCGACAATGCTAATAAGTTTCCACCGAGCGGCCCTCGAGCCGACGGAAACAGTCATTACAAGCAGCACAACAACAGCGGCTTCGGCTCGCAAATCAACGGGAAAAACGACGACTTATTCGCGGTTGAAGTGGCGGACAAAATAGCCGCCGTCATTCGCAGCTGCTACACAGAAACCGACAAACACCTCAACTTTACCAACCTCGCCAACCATAGTGGCATCCAACAAATTCCCGACATACAGAACGCAACAGATGGCGCCAAGGTCTGGGAGGCGATCTTCACGATTTGCAAAACGAACGTCTGGCCGAGTAATCATCAACGAAACATAAGTGTTCATCTGATCAGTCTCAGACAGAACGAGATCACTAACGTCACGGTTATCGAGGCACTATCGCGGTTCTTCCCCCGCATACAGGGCCTCGACTTGGGCGACAATAAACTCGAGAACATGAACAGTTTGATCGCGTTCAGCGACAAGTTTCGAGAACTACAGCACATCATAATCGACGGCAATCCAGTCTGTTACCTGCCTGACACGGTACCGACGTTGCGCCAGTGGTATCCAAAGCTCAAGCAAGTCAACAACACCCCTGTCGAGACGATTCAAGATGCGATACCATTTCCGGTAGGGCAGCCAGCACCAGTGTTGGGGATAGGGATAGGCGTAGGGGTAGGACAAACCCCCTTCCGACCGGACGATCGATACAAGGATACACCTGCAGCACAGATCCCAGTTGATCCTACTCGGCCGTGGCATCCGGAGATACCAGTGGACTCTCTCTTTGCAGTCAAGACACCGGATAAGCCGCAAGACGTTTGGGAACGTGAAGTGCTGGGACTCCGATTCAGCATTCAGACGAAGCTGAACATGGCTTCGACGGAAGAATGCCTGAAAGCAAATCACTGGGACTACGACAAGGCACTTGCCAACTTCAGCGAAATCAATTCGAAAAACCAAATTCCTCGAGACAGATTTCTGCCAGTATAGGGAAGCTTGATGGGTATCAGCAAGGATGGGTGATGATGGACGGGAGGCACTCTTGAACTGTATTAGTACCTGGTCTGCAAAAGTGGCATTTTGAGCGCGGCGCTCTCTTGATTAGCATTACTGTGATAGCGACTCGGCCTCTATGGCATGACCTGATTCAAGGGAACCTGGCTGGGAGACGACAAATCCCGTTGACATGGTTTATCTGCCAAACCCTTTCCTCGTATTCTGATGCGTTTCTGACGAGCATGTGAAAGAATCCAACTCGGGTTGACAGGGGTGTGGACGGCTTCGTCCCCCGGTTCTCATCTTCCGGTAAACTCCAATGATGATAAAGAACGTGGTCCATCTCGCTCTTTCACACCGCAGCTGTGGGTCAACGATGGCTCGCTGTCCAGATACTGTGGTACGAGTACTCTGTACACTTTGGGCCCGAGAAGTGCACGTGTAAAGACGATGGACGTCATGGCGGAGCAGCCAGTCTCGTGTCTGGTGGGCGTGGCCGAGCCTGCGGACCTGGTCATCTCAACCCTTCCGGAGACCCGTTCCATGTCAATTCTCAGGAACCCGTCGCGTACCTGCGTCCATTTGTCCTCTCAGCCCAACTGATGTTTTCAGACTCGTGCCTTGCTCTCCGCTCCTCCTGCGATCTTGATGATCCTTTCTATATCCTTCATGGAGCACGACGTAAAGCCGCTACGCGTTTTACCCCTCACACCGCCTCCCGGTACTGACTCTTCCATTGCTCTGCACGATGCTCTGGAGTTCGAACAAAGGGAGCGCGTCGACCAGTGAAGATGAAAAAACTGTTGGGGACTCCGGCGATGATGTTCCCGAGGAAATTGTGCTTGCGCAGCCGCAGCAGGGACGGACGCTACTCCCTGCGCCGGCCGCCGCAATTGTAAGCGGAGTCACCGGCCTCACTTCGTTCTATGTGCGTGGCGCTACAAAGGTCGGAGGATGGGGTCTCTACGCCGGGAGGGAAGCTACTCTCAAAACCTTGTCCGTCAGTCGAAGCGCGCTGGAATCTATCCTTATTGCTGCCGGGAGGGACGTCTCCGCCCGGAGCAATGGCGAGCTGGGACGCGCTGAGGCCGAGAACTTGTTGGAGAGGAGTGTACGTTCAATCAATCGGGGCGTTGAGAAGACTAAGCTGACCACATTGACAGATCTCTGCCTTGCATTCGACCATTTCAACCACCTCCTTCGTGGCCTCAACCGGATTTTACCTGACAGAAGCCTTCATGAACTCGATATCCGGCCTCTCCATACAAGGTCTGGCCACGCTCAACGCCATTCTCGGCTCCACCGAGTCCTCCCGCGCCGTGGCCGCCATCATCACGCTGATCCGAGACGAGCTTAACAAGCCTGAAGTTGGTGGCAGTGGGGAGGTGGTCACATATTTGGATCTCATCATCGGGACTATTGGATTTGTTCTGCTGCAAAGATGGGGCAGGCGCAAGACAGAACTCGACTTTCGGGATGCCGGCGGTGAAGAGACAATCTGGGATGCTGTCATCGACGACAAGGGTTTCAGAGCCGACGTGGTGGGTACAAGAAGGAAGGGCATGATCAGCCTCAATACCAACGTAGGCGGACCAGCCATGACGTTCGCCTCTCCGGACGATGAAGATGAATTTGAAGCCTTGGAACGGGGCACCCTGTACGATGCTCAGACGGTCGCTCCGTCCGCCGAAGATCACACCAAGCTGTCCGACGAGGAGATTCGAGAAAGGATCATGAGTCAGGTGCCCACTGGTGCTCGGGCCGTCATCACGTCCGAGACCATCACGGCGAAGACGATCAAGGTCGATATCTACGATGGTCACACCGCTCACATCGATCCTCCACCTGGGACGGTCATGGTGGCTGAAAGGTTGAACCATGAAAGCTCGGGTAACGGCATGCAAGGCGTGCCCCATCAAACCGTCATCTTTCGTACAGCTTTGAAGAGATCAAGCAGTGCAGAGATGCCTTCTTCTTCGGCTAATCAATTGCGACTGACCGCCGGTCATGGATCCCCTCCTGATCATCTTGATGTCGAGGACATGCTGGAGATGAGAAGCGCGCCAAAGCGGATTTCAATCGTCGATGAACCCGTTCAGATAGAACCAGCAATGTTTTCCGGCTCCGAGCGAGATGACGAAGCCATTGAGTCCTCTTCACCTCCAACATCGTCGCCTCCAAAGCCCAACGGACCCGTTGCAAACCAGAAGAAGAGCCGTCGGCCTGTGCTCCCTTCGAGCAAATCTCCGCCCGCCACGAACGCTACCAGCCGGATACCTCTGATGAAGGGTAAGAAAGACAAGACTTCGCTGGCCGCAAAACCCGACAAAGGTGGTGTGCTCAAGAAAGCCTTGAAGACACTTAGCCCCAGTCAATCTTCAGCGGCAGTCAAGGATATTCAACGAGCCCCCTCGAAGCCGCAGAAACAACTACCGTCTGTGCCAGTGCAGGCCTCCAGGTCTCGGGCGCCGTCGAGTACTCGTGGAGACTCTACACCTCACCGAGCTTTCGCTTCGTTAGGCCATACACCTCTGACCAGTCCAAGTCTACATCGTGCGGCGGAGTCGTCGACGAGTTACTTCGCAGTACAGCACAGAAGAAGAGACTCGATTGTATCGCAGACTACCGAGACATTTTCAGTACACTCACACGACAGTCGACCGGGCTCACCCACGTTTACCAGGACCCGGACGCGAGTTGTGAACGGCCTGACGCCGACAAGATCAGAGCTGGGTATGGCTCTAGACGAAACAGAGTCAAGGCTCGACCCGACCACTGGCACGGTCCATCACCGGCGCTCTCGATCTTTCGTGCCTAGTCTCTACTCCATGGCCACCAAAGATTCCAAGGAGGCCATCCTGCTTGCGCCGAAGACTCCTTTGCCGCGTAAATCCATCTATGAGGACCACAGCATATTGGCTTCTCTCATCAACGATGGCAAGGTGCCTGGGATATTCCCGGATCGCCATCTCGTAAAGACAGTTCGACGATTCGCAAGGTTTGCATCGGCCTCGTATGGCTCGAACTTCCTGAGGATAATGGGCCTCACTACGTCTGAAGATGATCTCAGCAAATCCACTGAATTGATGACTCTGAATGTGCATCATGAACATAGCTCATTCTCGTCCCATACTGGTCTACCTCCGGACACCATCCTATTGTCGTCCTTTTACGACCCCAAAGGAGTTACGGGCAATACCGACTGGTCGCCGTCGGCCATCTCTCCACTGATCCATTTCATCTCGATTGACGATGATTCCAAAGCGGTTGTTTTGACCTGTCGCGGAACCCTCGGCTTCGAGGATGTGCTCACGGACATGACGTGCGACTATGACGATCTCCTTTGGCAAGGCCAGCGCTACAAAGTACACAAAGGCATCCATGCCTCCGCACGGCGCCTCCTGGGCGGCAGCGGAAGCCGCATCATTGCCACCATCCGAGCAACGTTGGAACAATATCCCGACTACGGCCTCGTCCTCTGCGGGCACTCCCTTGGTGGCGCAGTTGCCGCTATTCTCGCCATTCTCATCGCCGAGCCCTCGAGCGACGGCTCCAAAACCTCCTTCATCACGGGCAACAAACCGAAACTGCTCACCCATCAACCCGTCAACGGGCCCTACACATCCTACATTCCGCCCATAACCCTCCCTGCTGGCCGGCCCATCCACGTGTACGCCTACGGCACACCGGCGTGCATGTCCGAACTCCTCCGCTCCGCCACCTGCGGTCTGATAACCACCATTGTCAACCATGCAGACATTGTGCCGTGTCTTTCCTTAGGCAGCCTCCACGACTTCAGAACGGTAGCACTGCACCTCAAGCACGATACCTCGGATGCGCTCGGCGCTCTCAAGACACGCGTGTGGAACCGCCTCACCAGCGCTGTCAAGTCCGCATTCTACAACAATCCCAAGGGCCCACCTCCGCCGGAGAACATGGCAGGTGACGGGCTCGGAGAGGATACATGGGCATGGGCCGCGCTGAAAACCCTGCGCGCCGCCATGATCAACGACAAACTCGTCCCGCCCGGGGAGATTTTTGTGGTTGAAACCACACGCGTCTTCGACCGGCTCGATCCCGACGTTGCGAGAGAGGCGGTCTTTGGCCCAGACGATTCGAGGGATGATCGCACGGAGAAACTTTACCGCGCTCTGGGACGGCCCGCCACGAGAGTGAGGATGACATGGGTAAGGGACGTGGAGAAGCGGTTCGGAGAACTCAGATTCGGGAGGGACATGTTTGGCGATCACAGTCCGGGCAGATATGAGGCTGCTCTGGCGGCATTGGAGAAGGGCATCTGTGAAGATTAGGCAAAAGACACCGAACGAGAGAGAGAGAGACAAAGGGGGAAAGAGGGGAGAGAGGATGAAGGCCACTCAAGACTCAAGAATGACCTGATGATTAAACGAAGCGAAGATGCGCAGGTCAATACATAGCTATGGTTGGCATATAGATTCTAATCGTAATTCTCTTTGTTCAGTGCTGTGTACAGACGTACTGTACCTTTCTTTTGTCCCGGGCGGTCCTCCTTTCTACAGAACTGTGATGCGAAAAAGTCTCACACTTCTGCAGGACTACCATGTGAGTATCGCAGGTTTATATAAGTGCGATCGTATGACCCGCACTTTTATATAACTGGATGTGATTGTGCGTAGTCCTACAGATCTGCGATATACTGTAAGGCTAACACTATTGCAGGACCACCCTATAATGTAAGCCTGACACTTTTGTAGAATTGTAATGTATGTACTTCTTGCGCTTCCACAGAACTGCGACGTGAGCCTTGCACTTTTACAGAACTGCTACATAATTATCGCACCTCTCCAGAACCGCAATGTGAGCCTTGCACTTTTGTACAATTGCGACATGGACCGAGGGGGCATTGAGTTGACTGAGAATCTGTCGCGTCGTTGTCACCCATTCTAGGAGAACACTACCTGATCCCGATTCGCTCGCCGGCTTTCACCCTCGAGGCATCACCTCTCTCCCAAGATAGAGAGCTCCATCATGCTTGCTGCTTGCTGCTTGCTGCTTGCTGCTTGCTACGGGAACTGGCGATGTTGTTGGATTTGCCCTGTCGTGTTCTGTGCTTTTGATTGTCCCTCCTTGGTCATGGCGTTTGCGTGAAATAGAGTGCGTTCCAATGTCAAACAGACAAAAGCTACTGGCTTGTCGGTCAGCGGCATAGGTTACATCCCTTCCATACATAACGTCGTCTGTCCACGTTTGCTGGTTTCCAGATTTCCATATCTTCTTCAGGTCTCATGTTCAATGACCGGCCTCGGCCTGTGATCCTCAGCGGATACGGCAGGCTGGCATTGTTAGCATCAGGCACCCTTCTCTTCATGTCTGGTCTACTTCCCCGGCACATTGCGCGAGCGTCGTGACCTGGAGATGTTTGCAGAGGTCAACAACCCTTTCAAGGGTATTTTCATCAACCATCACCGCCCCAACTGAGCGGATCAGTCAACCTCGGTGACTGTATTCGTCCGACCACGTCAAAGTGATAACTACCTTAGGTATGGAATGTTGACGACTGACCATGTGCTCATCATCAGCCTGAGCATAGCCTTGCACACACATCATAAGTGGTAAGTGCCAGCTCCTGCCGGCGCCAACCTGGACTGACCACAGCAGGGTGAAGTATCTTCGACACAACGCTCCTCCGCGTGCCACTTTCCCCCTTATTCACCACGTCCTGTCGAGTGGTGTTGTGACCTCCTCGCCGTCCCGAGTGATGATACCCAAGGCTGAGGGCGGTGAATCGTGGTAACTGTGCAATAGCCATGGCATTGTCGCCTGAGTGCAGTTCACAGAGGCGGCGCACATAGGCGGCGCACATGGGCGGCGCACTGGGCAGCTCGCAGTGACAACCGATCCTGCTGCCTCTGCCGGCCGTGAATGCTCACTTTCGGCGTGTATAAATATATCTCTGGATCTCGACTTTCCGAGCTCGCGTTTCTTTCGCATCAACAGAATGACGACAAATTTTGCTTGCATACAGAACACTTTGCTTGAGCTCCTATACCCATATCATTAGCGGTATAGCTAGAACAACCACCTACAACACGTGCTTTGGAAAGACAGCAACAGTATCAATCCCAAATTTCCAACGACATGTAAGTTGAAAGGCTGACAACAAAGATGGACGTCAGTGCTGACATGAAGCAGCTCGATCGCTGTGCTTCAAATCGACTCTTCGACAAGATGCGTGCCCTTTCTGCCATCAGCTCTTTCGCCACCACCGTCATGCTCTTTTGTTTCTTCAAGGCCACATATGCGTTCGGCACCGCCAACGTCTGGCAGTGGTGCAAGAACTCCGACGTGTACTGTGCTACCGTCAAAGGCTGCGGTCCCGGAACTGCCCCAGGTCAATGTCCGGGTGTCCATTGGGACAAGCTAGAACATGGCCATAACATCACGGTGGATTTCGACGGTAATCCGTCGGACACCGGCATGACCATCATGCACGTCGACCTTCCTGAATGCCGACGTAGCAAAGGCTGACACAAGTTCGCAGGTGCACCAGAGATCCAACTGCTTCTCCGATCCGGGTAACCCAACTGGAGTGGACCTGGGAGCAGGGTCAAGGCAAGGTCTACTACGATGTCAGCAATGTCGCCGGCACTCCGTTCGTCGACGAGGGCTTTATGCTGCATTCAGTTGACGCCAAAGATCCGGGCAAGATCCTGAACCGCTGCTTCGACGCTTGGTGCGACAAGAACGACGTTTCCTGCAACCAGGTGTATGAGGTTTGGAACGACGCCGAGCAGGCCATGAGAGCTTGCTATGACGGCGCCATCCTGGGGTTGCAGCTGTGTCTTTGATAGTCAGGCCATAGCGAGGCTGTCAAGACGGATCTTCTGGTTTAGAAAGGGGACGTCCTGGAGTAGAGGACATGTGTATAGATCGACGCGGGCAGAACCTGGACCCGGAGGCATGAAGCATCATGCAAGATGTATGATTTCCAGCACAGTCGACCAGCTTAGAGATCTCGAAACCTTGAATTCGTACTCTGTAGATCTGAGCTAGTCAACAAAAAGAATTCACCCAATCTCACATCTGAAACTGAGAATAGAGAGACAGTCGTCCATGACGTTGGCGGCGCCGGCAAGGACCAGCAGGACAGTCAGCACACATGTGTCTAAGGAGTGCATGGGAGTCATAGTAGCGAGGCAGCGAGCATCTCGTCTTTGAGCAGACGACGAATGTGGTGAGTGGAAGAAGAGGCAAAGCGATGACTCTTCAGATTGCAGATTGCAGATTGCAGATTGCGGGGCGGCGGGTGGCCGCTGTCGTCATTGATTGGATGAGGGGGCTGAGCCAAAAAGTCGCCTGCACGATTACACAATGAAGCCGTGCGGCCACCACGGCATCCAGACTTTTTGGGGATGAACTTTGTATGATTCACAACCTGCCTTGCACTCTCGCTAGCACTTGACCCTCATAAACTTCGCCCCTAGGCACAAACATAAGAGCTGGAACATCTACAGCCAGACTGGAGTGTCCCTGAAGCAACAGCTTTCGCCGCGGATCACGCACACACCCAAAGATCATTCGTTCGAATTCACACCCCGCCTTCCTTCCGCACACTCGCCCTCACTCGCACTCGTACACCAGGCAGTCATGGCGGTCAGGGCACAGGTATGCACGCCGAGTCACTATTCTTGGGGGTTAGACCGGAACAGAACGCTGACCTGGGCGGAATATAGTTCGAAAACTCCAACGAGGTGGGCGTCTTCGCCAATCTCACAAACTCATATTGCCTCGTCGCCATTGGCGCCTCGGAGAACTTCTACTCCATCTTCGAATCCGAACTGGCAGACCTGATACCCATCGCAAGATGTACCATTGCCGGCACGCGGATCGTGGGCCGCTTGACGTCGGGAAACAAGAATGGTCTGCTGGTTCCGACCTCGACAACGGATCAAGAGCTACTCCACCTGCGAAACACGCTGCCGGACGGAGTCAAGGTCGAGAGAATCGAGGAGCGATTGTCGGCGCTGGGGAATGTGGTCTGCTCCAGTATGGAGGGCTCCCTTGTTTATTCTTTTTCTCTTACAAGACACCCCCCAAACTTCACTTGACCGACACGGGACTGACTGATGATCCGGCGCAGATGACCATGTCGCCCTAGTCCACCCGGACCTCGAACGCGAAACGGAAGAGATCATCGCAGACACGCTCGGCGTCGAGGTGTTCCGCCAAACCATCGCCGGCAACGTCCTCACTGGCTCGTACATGGCCCTCTCAAACTCGGGCGGCATCGTGCACCCCAAGACTTCTGTCCAAGACCAAGACGAATTGTCCTCGCTATTACAAGTGCCCCTCGTGGCTGGCAGCGTCAATCGCGGAAGCCCCGTCGTGGGCGCGGGCATGGTGGTGAATGACTGGCTTGCCGTGACGGGCATGGACACCACGGCCACAGAGCTGAGTGTCATCGAGAGTGTCTTTAGGCTCGGGGAGGGCGGACCAGGTGGCCTGGATGCCAAGATGAATGCCAACAAGGAGAGTATCGTCGAAAGCTTCTACTGAGCATGAGCATGAGCAAGAGCAAGAGCAAGAGCAAGAGCAATCAGCCATGGCTGTCCGTCCAGGAATGTCATGCCCAACGAAATAAACACATCTCGCTTCACAAATTGGCTCGACGGCGCCCGACCAGAAAGCACCGTGCCCCTGCTCCCCGGCGATTCTCGAACACCGACCATCGACCGATGCCGCTTCTCTTGCCATCGTGTCTGCGAGTACTCCACCGAGTTCCAGTCTCGGGAATGCAAAGGTCTTGCTTCAGCGCGTGGGCGCGAGTGGTGCGACGGGGACAGGAACAGGGACCCAGCTTGTCTGGCGGGGTGGTGTTCTTGTTGTTGTTGTTGTTGTTGTTGCTGGAGGGAGCAGCGATAGAGAGTAAGAACAGAAGGGAACTGGTGGCATGTTCAGGGACCTCCCAGCGGAGGGGCACCAATTCATATCCACCCATGCATGGGCAAACCCTCTTTTCTCTCTGGTATCTCTCTCACCTGAATGTCTGGTGGTCTCCCGAGGAAGGGCTCCGACTTCGACTCAGAAGAGCAAGCAAGTCTGCATAACGCAGCGCACAGCGCAATCTGAATACAGTGTGACGAGATTGGACCCTAAGCGGATTTCCTCCTTCATCTTTCATAAATCCGCGAGATGCAAGCCTTCCGGCATTCGATCGTGAAATCCCCGTATCACGAAAAAAGTTCCCTGTCTCCTGCTATGTATCTACGGCCACAGCTCTGCTCGTACTTTGCGGCCTGTTCTGACTTATCAGGCTCCCGGTCACGAATTCGCGCAGGTCCTGGCTAGCTCCTGGCGTACCGATACCACGAAACTAGATGTCAATACTGTAGCTGGGACGCATGTGCAAGCGCCCAATCCAAGGCTTGCGTGTGTCGAATGCAGATGCTCTCCCATGTCATGCGCTTTCAGTCCTTTGTCGCTACTGTACCACCTTCCGGGCCAACCGTAGGCGCGCACGTCCAGGCATAGGCGCTGCGAGAAACCCTGAGCATTATGTCGAGGAGGGTCCCGATCCGCAGCGCCTCCAAGTGTAACTCCAGCTCGAGTTCACACAAAATGGTCGAGAGAGAGAGAGAGAGAGAGAGAGAGAGAGAGAGAGAGAGAGAGCGGTCCAAAACTTTCTCCTCCTGCCTCCGCGGTTCCGCAGATTGACAGTTTGGAGCACTAGAAGCAACGTTACAACTTTGTCATTGATCACCCCCGGGCTGGTCGACAGGCTGATCCTCCACCATCGGGTTTCTCGTCTCTCCCTCCGTCTCCAACACGTTGCCATTCTTCATGACCACGTCGCCCACATCCTCCGGTGCCTCGTCATCTTCGGCCTGCGCTTGAGCCAAAACGTCCGCCATACTCTTTCCCTTAAAATTCGTATCGGCGAAGATATCCGTCTCCATGTCGACGTCTTGACTCTCGCGTGGTGTGCTAGCTGGTGGTGTCTCAATTGGTGGTGCGGGCGGCGGTGGTGGCGGAGGAGGTGTGTCGAGCTCCAGGTTCAGGCGCTTGATTGGCGACCCGGGGGGCTCTCGCCCATCTTCGTCACCACCCGGCGCGGCCGGATCTTCTTGCGCATCGCGTTTTCGCTTCAACGTGCCAGTGCCGTTGGCCTCGGATGGCGAATGGACACTTGGCGTGTCATCGAGTTCATTGTCGGACATCTTGATGTCTTCATCCTCGTCTGGTGCGTGGGGCGAGGCAGCTGCTGTCTCACCATCCAGCTTGGGCTTCTTGTCCTTTTCTCTCGTCGCTTTTTCTGCCTCGTGTTTCTTGTGTTTCTGGTAGGCCTTTTCAAAGAACTGTTTGCAAAATTCCTTGACCTTCTTTACCTGCCGGTCCTCGATCTTCGTAGGGTCCTTGACCCGACCTGCCTTGTAGTCCGAAGCGACAAGTTTCTTGGCTATTTCTTTCGCGAACCGCTTGAGGTCATCCCGAGGGATTTTATTCTTGTACTTGTTCATGACGTGCGAGATGTGAGGGAAGAGCTGAAATGGGTTAGTTGCTATTACCAGAGGTCCAAAGGAGGAGGCACTACTTACAGTGTTTTCGTACAGCTTCTTTTGCTTTTCCTCGTCGTAGGATTTCCACTTCTCTTCCTTCTTTGACTTGCTGGGCTCTGGCGTGTCAGGTGTGGAATTCTTGGTTTCTTTGCCGCGCGACGTGACAATGTTATCGATAATGCTCTTGAGTACGTCTTGTTCCGATGGCTGTTTAGGAGGCGGAGGGGGTTCATCTGCTGGTTTTGAAGGTCTGGTCCACGTCGTCTGTCCCGATGCAGAATAGAAGTATGTTCGACCTTTGTCTTGAGCCGCAAACCAGCCTCGCGGTAAGGGTGGGGGACCGCGTTGAAAGGGAATAGGAGGACGCGGAAAGAAATTGGCTCCAGGTCTTTGCAGAGATCGAGGACCGGCCGGCGCGTTGAGCGATGCTGGTCCTCTGGGAGGAGACTTCGATCTTGACCTCGAGCGTTTCCTTTGCTGGGCGGATTCGCGACGCTCGAATGGTGCTGGCTCCGTCTTTACAGACGTCGCAACATCTTCCTTCTTCTTTCGCGGTATTCTGTAGGCCAGCTCAAGCTGGGACCAAGCATCAAATAGTGATGACGCCTGAGTGGCGACCCTGTCGTCTTCATGGTCGATCAAAGACTGCAGCGTCTTGTCTATCTTCGCATCGACAATCTTGTTCCTCGTCAACCGTGGCAGCCGGTCAAGGATGTCAAGGATCTGGAGAATGATATTCTCATCGTCACGCCATGCCGACAGTTGCGAATTAAGGATCTGGTAGCCGTGAAATCTGACGACCCGATGCCATGCTTGGTCGTCATCACAGCGTTGTATGCGCTGCAAGAGCTTCACAGCGATCCATTTCTCTTTACACTGCATGAGTGCAGCCATAACCTTCGTCACGCCGTCGGCATCAAGGGATTTCGCTTCGAGACTGTCCACATAGTCCTCGTCATCTTCGGCCGTCTTCTTCTTCTTAGGCCGTTTAGCGACAATCGTATCCCAGGCTTCATCTTCGTCGATGCCCAAGGCCTCGATCGTCGCAGCGGACAGCTTGGTGGCCCGTTCGGTTTGCGTCTTGCCTCCGATGAAGCCTGTGCAGTTTGACTCCCCACAGTAGCACGGCTGTGGGTTGGCGCCGTACCTGTCAACATTGTAGTTGAAGACGAGTTCCTCGCCGGCTTTGATGTAGCGCTCGGCAAAAATGCCCATACGAAGCTTATCGCCCACCACCCACTTGTCGACATAGCAATTGGGGTTGCAAGAGTGATTGCAGAAGCGACCAAGGT